AGGCCAGATGATGATTGACAATGGAGGATCAATTAGAGGAGTGGTACCAATGGTACGACCTCCTCCTGAACCACCGTGAAAGTTTTTCTTTTAGTTATTATTATTTTTGACTTTTGGTTTCTTGTTATCGTCTATGACTCTATGTTGTTAGGTTTGTCAGTTTGTTTGGGAATTCAGCTTTTTTATGTCATTGAGTATGTTTAGATTTATGGAAACAAGGATGACTGTGTCAAGCCCGTTACATGGTTAACGATTCATGTTGCTCTTTCAGGAGTGACCGCTTCAAAGTCTGATCATAGGGTTTACGGTCGTAGTTGTTGGAGTTCAGTTGGTGTCAAATTTGTTTTTCATGTGATTGATGTAATGATCCTGAAACTTATGATATAAAAGAAGGCTAATTGACGATTAAAAAAAGGAGCTCTCTAGATCTAAATTTCTACGTGGATATTTGTGTAAACCGGAAACTGCTGAAATTTGAATTACAAGATAATTAACACAAAAAAATATTTTTGAAAAATAATAACATGTCTTTATCTTTTAATAGTTTCCCGAAAACGTATGGTCACTAAAAATTAGGTAGTATGGAATTTGGAATTGAAAAGTCAATGTTTTTCAAGTTCTTAATTAAAGTTTTCTTTGATAAAATGCAGTTACAAAAACAAAGGCTAATTAAAAGGTCAATGTTTTCAGGTCTCATGGTCTTGATTGAATTTAATAAGCATTGGTATTACAATTTGTTAGGCCCATATGGGCCTATACTTATGTAACTAATCTTGTATTATGGGCTAAGGGCTCTAGTTTAGGCTAAGTATGTTTCGTACGTGTGTATATATATAGGCACTCTTGTACATTGAAAGACACGAATACATATATATCAATTTCTCCTTAATATTTTCTTCCATAATTGGCATATTACTTCCGTGTTTAGCATGGTATCAGAGCCACCCAGGGCGGCAGTGTAGCTCGAGAAACTGTCTTCGGCCGTGCAGCACCAGCGTGCTTCGTGCGGCAACAATGATGGTAGCAACGGACGTTCAAGTTCTTTCGCTGCAGGTGGACCGTGCGAACCCCGACACGCGTGCAGGGGGGATCCATACCCAGGCAGAAACTTCGAGCTCGGCGGCAGCCGGTGAGGGTGATATTCCTCACGACGGGTTTGCAAACGGGTTGGCTACGTTAAGTAGTGAGCAGGTTCAGACTCTTTTAAATTTAATTAATGCGGATAATCGCTCTTGTGACCACATGTCAGGTAATCGAATTTGTCTTGATTGGATTCTTGATACCGGTGCATCTCATCATGTTACGGGTAATTTATCTTGTCTAAATGCACCTACCCGAATTACTGCGTGTCCGGTTGGGCTTCCCGACGGACGGACAGTAGCTGCCACGTTGCAAGGGCGTGTACCCTTGTCACGAAATCTTATTCTTGATCGTGTTCTTTATGTACCCGGGCTTACTTGTCATCTCATATCCGTATCACAGTTGACTGATCAGACACCCTGCATTGTCACATTTACTAATGATCTTTGCGCTATACAGGACCTACACTCGAGGAGCCTGATTGGAGCAGGTGAGAGGCGAGATGGACTCTTTTATTTCAAAGGGGTACCTGCAGTGAACGTTCTTCGGGCATCATCATCCCTACCGGAGTTTGATTTGTGGCATCGCCGTCTGGGTCATCCTTCCGACCGGGTTCTCAAATTATTACCTAGCATTGTTTCTAGCTCTGCTCAGAAGAAATTGCATAAGACCTGTGAGGTGTGTCCACAGGCCAAACAAGTTCGTGATTCTTTTCCCCTTAGCAATAATAAAGCTGGTAGAATTTTGGAATTAATCCATTGTGATTTATGGGGGCCTTATCAAACCCCATCTACCTGTGATGCTATTTATTTTCTTACTTTGGTTGATGACTATTCGCGAGCTGTTTGGGTGTATCTGCTTCGTGACAAAACGGAGGTACAAAAATATTTTTTATCCTATCTAGCCATGGTCGAAAAACAATATGATGTTGTTGTTAAAATTGTGCGGAGTGATAATGGAACCGAATTTCAGTGCTTGAAGACCCATTTTGACGCTCGTGGGATTTTATTCCAGACGTCGTGTGTGCATACTCCCCAGCAGAACGGGAGAGTGGAACGAAAACATCGTCACATTTTGAATGTGGCACGGGCATTAATGTTTCAAGCTGACCTTCCCATACGCCTGTGGCGGGAATGTGTACTGGCAGCCGTACATCTTATTAATCGTACACCGTCTGGACTCCTGGGCGGGAAGACACTGTATGAGATACTTACCGGCGAAATGATGTTTACAATAAGAGTAGTTACTTACTACCTCCATCTCATATTGAATTTGTTGTCATGTTTTAATTTGGAACGAGTATTAATAAAGCGATTGAAAAATAAAAGTTGTAATTGATATTTGAGTAAAATAAAGTGAAATGATAAAAATCACATATTTCTTGTCAAAAAAAATAAAACATTTATTTTGGCAAAATCCAAAAAACAAAGTAAGACAACAAAAATGGAATAGAGGAGTACTTAGGGAGTGTTTGCAACTGCTTAAAAAAAGCACTTCTTAACTTTTGGCTTTAAAAAGCACTTATTTACCAAACACTATCAATTTTTACTTTTTCTCGGTTTGCGTGTGAAAAGTGCTTTTCCCTTTTCTATTACACAAAAAGCACTTATTTTACCAAACACTACCAACTTTTACTTTTCAAAATCACTTTTTTCTCAAACATTATCAACTTTTACTACTAATCACTTTTTCCTTACATCTCCAAAAGTGTTTTTTTTAAGCAGAAGTAGTTGCAAACACTCCCTTAGTATTAAAATTGCTTTCAACCATACTTATTTTGATCCGTACACAATTAAGTCCGTAATCAAAAGTTTTCTTATTCGGCAAAAATATAAAAATAAAGCTCATAAGCTACAAATAAAAGCTACAAAATTGGCTCGATTCAACACCACTTTGAGTTTACAAAAGGAAAACTACATTAAAAAGAGTTGATTATAAATTCGTTTTTTCTAATTTTTTTTTTTGAAAGTAGTTCGTTTTTTCTAATAAAAACACGACTTTGAGTATGCAAAGGGGAAAACATTAAAAAGAGACTTAGATTATAAATTCGCTTGTTCTATATACTACGTATAACGTCAATGTGGTTTCTTAACATTATGCATTGATCAACTCTCTAGGGTCTAAAATGTTAAGGGGAGTGATAAGTCCGTATTTCGACACACATTTGATACCTGCTAAGATCGGATTTTGATGGTTTTCCAAGCATAAAGGTGTCATCAGTCTCATTTTTAGCTCAAGCCATATTTTATCGGGCGTTGGTTCGTGTTTGGTATTTTTTTGAGTGAAAATTAGGGAATTAAGCCCGACACCGACGTTTGAGAAGTAATCGAGGGAGTTGAGACGCATTTGAGAGTTAATTAGGAGCATTGGAGGTCAATGAGGGGTTAAAGACGAAGTTTTGAAGACAAAAGAGTTTTAGAATTGGCTACGCGATCAGAAGAAGACGAATAAAGCTTGAAAACGGTGATCAGGATGACGTTTTGCCAATCGTTCAAGCATATTTTTTGTATAAACATCCAAAGTATGCTATTCAAGTTCCATATGAAAGTTAACTTTAAGAGCTACAAATCATTTGAAAACACCATGACTAGAATCTGAGAGGAGCAAGGTGAAAACAGACGAGGAAGTCAGATAATCGTTGTTGAGATTTCAGGATGTCACCTTCCACCATTTTATTCATATCTTTTGATTAGATGATCCAAATCTAGTTTTACAAGTTGTGATGGATAGAAGATTTCATTAGCTACAACTTTGGTGAAGGAAGAATAGTCAAAATCGGAAGGGAAGGGCGCACGCCGTGCGCCCGGATTCGGGCCCAGCGAGCCCGCTGAAGGAAACAACGCTGGAGCTACTGTCGGTCGGGCACGCCGTGCGTGCAAGGGAGGCACGCCATGCCCGACGTTTTCCGCCCCAGTGTCCTATTTTGGCCCGGATTGATCTGTTTTTTATTTAAACAGCCTGTAAACCCCTATTTTTGGTTCCGAAAATTTAGAGAGAGACCTAGGGATGAATTTTAAGTTGTTTTACGCTATGTTCTTCAAGATCCTGGGATCATTTGTAAGTTCCTACTTTTTAATTAAAGACAAATAATTCTTTTCATCCCAATTCTGATGATTCTTCAATTATGAATTGTGAGTAGTTTTAATTAGGGATTTGGGAATGATGATGGGGTTAATCATTATTTGTTTAATTTGTGTTTGAATGATTTAATTGATATCTCTTGTAACCTAGAACGGCCGCTGGGATTATAATTGCATGAAAAATAAATTAAGAGAGGTCTAACTTATTCTAGGACACCTTCGCACACACTTAATCATTCGCTAAGAGATTAGTAACGATTAAGGGATTGTACGCGGTACGCTCGTTCGTTTTGACAATAATTTTAGATACCTGTCGCATAAGATATCAGCTTGGTACCCTAATTTATTTTACTCTACGCCGCGCGTGTAGTTATAACTTAGTATTGATTAGTATTGCTTAATTAAATAATGTTCATGTGATTATGCCTGATAAGCCAGAAATCTGGTTACTCCAAAGTCAATCCATGTTCCCTTCATCTTTAATTAGAAAGAACCAAGCTTTTTAATCGTTTGCTTGCATTTTAATTTTCCAAACAATCAAATCTCGCACCACTGCATTTATTTTATTTCTTTTTAATTGCTGAATTTAATTAATACTTAATTCCCTTTTTTTCGTCCCTTTGGAGACGATACTCGCACTTACACCTTATATTACGATCTATTTTAAGTGCGAAGAAAACTCACATCGGGGGCAGATTCACGCTACAATCAATTCAAGAAGCTCTTCACTTATGTCATGTAAGAAGTCATTTTGACAATTCATGCACCTAATTACTCCGTATTTGACTTTAGTTACAAATCTTAGTTCTAAACTTCTAATATGAATACATTATATTGCATGTTATAGTTATAAAAATCACATATTGTTATTAGATTGTGTAATGCATTTAAGGGAATGAGTCTCCCCTAGAACAATGTAAGTTATGAACCAACCTAAACTGCTAAACTAAAGATAGGATTTACATATTCTCAAACTGAATCAATTAATAGAGTCAGCACATATACAATGATGATGCCACACCAAATATAATTGGAAACAAAAATTTAGAAAGAAAAAACCTATGGTTTTATCATGTAGAACCTTGTGCCCCTGCAGTCCACTTGTAATCCATGCTTGAGGCAAATCACCACTTCCAAACTTAGGGTCCGTTTGGCAAGAAAGAAAAAATGCTTGGTTGCCGAATAAGTGAGTGGTTTTACTTGTTCTGACTATACATTCTGCTTCTTCTGCTGAATAACATGAAGACTAAGAAGAATAAGCTGATGAGGACTTTCCAAACATAGCCTTACTCAAAACGCTCCTAACTCAAACCAGTTTTTCCTTTCAAGACAATGGTTGCATATCTTCTATAATCTCTTGAATCAGGTCTCTAGTTATATGGCACTCAACATCTTTGCCTATAGCATTCGCATCTTCGTCACTCGACCATGGGGTGGACCTTAAGCTGTATGACACTATATCCTGAATGGAACAATAAGACAGATCTTCCCCGGGGTAAATGTGAGTTTGAGTCATTTCCCAAACACAATCCAGTAACTTCCTTCCCTGGGGAGGATAGGTCACTGGACAAATAGCCTCTTTCGAAGGTGCCCGAAGCAGGTTTAGAACTGTTTCATTGAATAAATCACAAAGCATCTTGTGATTCAGCCTCTCCCCTTCGCTTCCCTCGGCCTTTTTCCCATAAGATTCTTCAACCCCTTCAAAAATGTGATTGCTTATGGGCTTTCCAAACGTGTCCCATCTCCATGGATATTTATCCCCATCATAGAGACCAGAAGCAATAAGCAGGTCCCTTAAATAAGCTTTGGCAGTGTCATGAATCTCCACCATTTCTTCCTCAAGAGTAGGCTGCTGATCAATCACGTTCTCCCCCGTCTCCAACTCATTCAATTGCCTCCTCAACTCTGGACCAATAATTAATACTATTAGCTCTATCAACTGTATCATAGAACTCTATAATTACACCGATAAAATATAAAATTGTGTTAAAGTTCTCAACAAAAACACAGAATAAAAAATGTCTTGTTTTAAAAGTTCAAATTTCATACTCAAAAAGTACTCAAATACTTCATATGTTGGACATAGCATGACACTCAAGATGGTGGTTTGTTGGATTCGTTGCTTGTTTGATCTTAACATGGTTTAAAATTTGGGTTTTCCTACTAAATACGCAACTTAACAGGAGTAATCCAATATTTTATATTTATGTTGACTTTTATCATACACCACTTTGTCCATAAATTATTGCCCATTTCGACCAGCATATAATTTATTGTCATGAGAACGGTGTGTTGGGATTTACTTAGAAGAGAGTGAAGTAAGCCGTATTCTTTCCGTAAAAGAAAATGAACAATAGTTTTGGTATGAATGAAAAAAGAACATAAATGATTTAGAGACAGATAGGAGTATTAGGTTGCTGTGTGTGATGACTTTGCATTTTGAAGTACAAGATTCTTACCGGTTAGATTAGAGTTGATTTCTCTAAACACACGAGGAATGTCAGTCTCAACCAGTGGATGTAAATCTGGGGTGGAAGCTGGACTGGAAGTCCTGGAACAATCTCCTGGCCTCCAAAATTCTTCACCAAAACTGTTGCATACAGATGCAGGACTTGGTGGAACTTCTGTGTAATCTTCCTAAAATGAAACCAAAGTTAATAAACATAGCATGATCCCTGTATATTTTTTTTTTTAATTCTATGATAGGAAGAATGTCAAAGCAAATTTTCAAAACATACATTCATGTCATAAGAGGGCGATGTGTCTGATGCGTTGCGAATATACTTAGTCCCGTGTGATTCGTTTTGAAGTTTCTTACTAAAAAGTTTCGTTTTGAAGCTCGAAACCTTTTCCATAAGACTGAACTTTTGTTTTCTCTTGTTGTGATCAGCACTCAAAGAAATCTTTTTAATGCCGTTTAGGTCCCCTCTTTCTTCCAAGAGGAGGCATCCGAATGACGTTCTTGATATGGGAGTGGACAAAGAGCGAATGAGGCTCCTAGTGGGGACTTCTGACTCCAGTTTGTCATGGTCATGATTATAAGGAGATGTTTCATTCCTCAATCTTGCATTCACCTCTTCAAGAAAATCGTCCATGCTATTACCTCTTTCCTCCGAAATGCTTGGAGAGCTTTCTCGGGATCCATAAATGGTTTCGTTGTCATCAAAACAAGGCCTTAAAACCACAATATTCACGGGGGACGTCTCATGTTTCTTGGAATTATCAGTTAGCACAGTCTCCTTGAACTGCTTTTTTGAACTAGTACTTTTGAGGTATAATGTGTCAGTTTTCTTAGCCTGCCACGCCTCAAATTCTTTCTTAAACTTCTGTAATTCTTCTTCCTGAGGATGCTCTCGACGAGGTTTTGGCTTCACCAACTCCATGCTGGGATCACAACACTCATCATAATAATGAAATGAACTGAATCTGCAAGAACGTGTCGTGATAAGAGTGGAGGGATCAACAGGGATATCTCTCACCTCTTCCTCTTTTGAAGGGCTGCTCATTTTTGCTTCTATATTTTTCTGTCTTGCAATTGGCTTTGAATCTAATACAGGTAACATATCCACTCCCATCAAGCGGGCTATTACGCTAGGCGCATTCGGCCCTTTGTTTGGTCTTCTGCATGTTTCCTCATTGGTAAGTTTCTTCATTGGGAGCTCATTAGGACAGTTTCTCTTCCCAGACCATCTGTTTGCTGTCATTTGATATGTACACTGGAACATGTAAAGAAACCCACAAGTTATATAAAATGCAGCTCTATAATCACTCCAGCAACAAAGAATCCAGATAATACTAAGTTCATTTCTACTTCCTTGCATGTCTGTTGTTTATAATCCCTCTAATTTATGCTGTATTCTTTTTAGTCCCTCACCAAATCTATAAAAACTCCATTTCATGATCTAAAAGACTGGACTTACATGAATTATGTCGTTTTCTTCACAACATTTCATTTTTAAGAGACCATATACATTTGTTTATATTGAGACTTATATTAAAAACATGAATAATTATGTCACTTAGCCTTCACTTCACTGAGAGTAATTTCTAAGCATGCTGTGAAACATGAACTAAATTCACTAAGATCTTATTGAGAAAATTTAACTTCATGGTAAAATACAAAGTAAAAAAAGATACACACGTTGGTAGAAAAAAATTAGAGTAAAATGGCATAAGTTTTTTACTAGAATTATATTTGAGACTTTTTCTCAATTCCTATATGTAGCACTGAAACTCTGATGAAAAAGTACGTTTCCGCTTCGAAAACTCTACGGAAACTCTCAAAACAAGCATTTTGAGCAAAAGTTACTGTTTCGTGTTTCCCATTTCATCATGATTTTCACGTTTCCCTGCTAACATAAATTTTGTGGCACTATTTTGACATGTTTAACCGGTGAGCAACACCCTCGGCTAGTAAATGCATATAGACATGCCTTTGGTAGCAGGGAACTAAATAATAAATATACGGAGTTGTACTTTTGAAATAATAAATATCCCTAGTCCTTGAGGATATGCCGGACCCGCCTAGAGATTTTTGCAACTACGGTTTGTCATTAGACTAGAGAACAATTAGCATCTATCCAAACACTGCATTGTAAAACTCTTACCAGTTTATTGTTACCACTATGGGATAATCTCTGCCTCTGGGAAACTTCCATTGGAAGGTTTAGACTGTTTGGAGGAGCCTCCATACCTGCAAGGGAGTTAATTATATGACATCCTTAAATTATGACACATATATACAGTACTACTGTACTAGGAAGTAGGAACACATTGACTCGTTTGGTAATTTACACGTTAAATATTTACACGGAAATGACTGCATTTAAAGTTTAGAAAAACAATAACTTTGTTTAACTAGATATGTAATCTAGCTTTTAGTTGCTCGTAAAGTGATTGGAGTGCTTTATGTAAAACATACTCCGTACTTGATACTCCGTATAAAGTATTTCATTGCTCTCTCCTACATAAAATATTCACATGGTACAATGCAAAATTTTTTTAAAAGGTCTCCTAGAGTTTACATTAAATAATCAAATTAAACGGTATGTAATAATTTTACATTCAACCAAAGACACCCCAAATGGAAACCATTTCCTACCACTTTTCTTGATTAAACCAGAATCAAAATTCAATTACTACATCAGTCACACTTGTAAGGTGTTAGAGACTGTATAATCAAGCCCTATCCGTCGATCTAACTTTAGAGCCACGAGATTCTGTACACTTTGGACCGTACGAATTCCGTACAGATTGGGCCCTACGGATTATTTTTCTTTTTTTCTTGGGCCGCACGTCCTAGTTGGCTCGGGGTTAGGTTTTACTCTCTACAAATATAAGCTCTCTCCCTTGTAATCTTGTGATCCGAAAATATGAATAACATTCCTGACTTGGTAGCACCCTCAGACGTAGTCATTCGTAGCGAACTGGGTTACCAAATTTCGTGTGTTCTTTATATTGTTCTTCGTGTTGCGTTAATTAAATCCTAACAACACTTTATGTGTCCTACTTTGATTTGATACAATTATTAATAAAGTAGTTAAAAAGTAAAATCTGTAATTGAGATTTGAGTATAAAACGGGAAAAATGATTTATGTTTTGGGGAAAATGATTTAACTAAAGAAAATGATTTTTTTTTTGGGAAAAATGATTTATGTTTTCAGATGAAGTAACATGAGCGATATATTCCATTTATCTCCACAAAGAAACCGTTCATGTTAGACTGACAGGGCAGGCAGTAGTGGAATGCCGAAAAGTCATCACCTTATATGATGTGTACCTTTTGAAGACCAACATATCACATGATTGAGTAACAGCTTGTTCAGACCCAAAAATAAATAAAAAGAAAGCAAAACGTGACTTCCGGAATCTTGAGCTAAATGACACTTGGTTTGTTATGTAAATGGAAAATTAGAATGTTAATCCAGAATGATGGGTCTTCAACAATGTCACTAAGACCGAAGCAATTGTTCCGCTAATACGTACTACAAAAAATTCATGAGATTGACACAGATTTGACATAAATTGATCGATGATTTCATGCCAAAAATATCTCGTGACAAATTAAAATGTTTTTGAGATATTCATGTCAAATCTTCTATACATTTTGGCGAACTCTTGTCAAACTCATTGTTTTTTTGTAGTGGTATATACGTTTCAGTCAAAACGTTTACACTTGAAATACTGCAATTTGAAGCGGATTGAGACTTGAATCGCCAAAAATCAAACGAGCCCGGAGAGGTTTGACATGTGCCCTTTGAATCACTATATTCCTAATACTTTTCTTTCATTGAGTGAGCAGGTTTGTTCCATTGATGATGTGTGACAAAATATAAAGACAACTCCTTTTTTTTTGTACGGAGTAATATTTAAATTAGTATGAAGAATTAAATCACTCACTACATATATAGAAACAATGCTACGGTTATATTGAATGACAAAAGCAAAACTTACATTATACAAAATCAGAAATTGAAGTAGAAGTGAATGCATCATAAAACAAGTGTCGGGGGAAATTAAATTGGGACATAGAGGGAAAAAAGGGGCAGCCTCACTTCAAAAGAACAATCATATCAATAAATAATTGAAACTAGGATAAAATTGACTGAAAAGGTTCAATAAAAAAAAAGAGATAAAGAAAAAGTTTTCTACACTAAAAATAGTTGATTTTTCGAAATGGTTATCTAAAAAACGAGAAAGGGAAAATGCAACATTTTTTTTGAACGAAGGGAAAAATGCAACATTAAAAAATCAAAGTACTCAATGTTCCTTAATGGAAGAAAAAGGGGATTTCAAAAATATTACTAAAATAAAGTTTATTTACACAAAAATGACTAATAATTACTACAATATAGTTTCATAGTCATTTAAGTTTAAAAATTGCATACTACATATAAGTTACTATGATTATGTTATTACTGTAGTCACTAGTCATATTTTTTTGTGATCAGTCACATTTTCGTAAATAATTTTTATTATAATTTTAAATGTATAATTATTTTAAAAAAAAAAACTCTAGAGTACTTAAAAGTTTTCCATTGATAATACCAAAAATTCTCAGTTTTACATAATCCAAAATAAAATCAATTTTACGTAATCCAACAGTGCATTATCTCCCAATTTTAAACAAAGAATATATATACCACATGAAAAATTTCTTTAAACAAAAATAAAATATAGATAGAGTACATCATCATTATTTTCTTCTTGAAATATTTACTCTTACTTAGGGAAATTTTATGTTTTTCATAGAAAAGAATGAACTTTATTTTTAATAATAAAACACAATTATTTCTATTTGTGCAATTTTTAATCAACCATTCTTGGTGTACACGTTTTTGTACCCATCAGTACACGCATGTGTCTGTGAGAGTTTTTTTTTGTCTGTGAAGCGCGGTCCACAGACATAAGTTGACTTGTTTTGTCTGTGGAAAATTTCACAGACAAAACAAACCAGCTTTTGTTTGTGGACCGCACTTCACAGACAAAAAAAAAACTCTCACAGACACATGCGTGTACTGATGGGTACAAAAACGTGTACAAAAGGAATTTTTGATTTTTAATATCTTACTCAATAGTAGGGGGGCCCACCATAAAAATGAAAATGACGAGTGATAATAATAACACGAAGCTCATTAAAATTACTCAAAATAAGTTGGCAGACATTTGATCCATATATATTGTCATTGTCAATGACCTAGCCTGATCAATTTCCACGACTTGAAAACAAACTCAAAATAAATGTCAAACAAGACATGAACAACAAGAATTCGATGGTTCGGGTTTTGACACCAACCTTTGCCAGAAACTATTACCAGAAAGTTATGAATTCAATACACCCTTAATCAATATAATCAAAGATTATCCCAAATTAAATCCCCAAGAAAACCAAAAACATGCATTTGTACGAAGAAATGAAGCAAGTTACACTTAAAGATCCAAACTTTAAGATAATGCAACTCCAAATGTGCCCAGAATTGAAGAACCCATAGATGCATCATGCATGAATATAAACACAAAATCAAGTATTCCGAGGAAGAAGAAAAAAACAGAACAAAATGATGGACTTACAGATGGAAGAGCCAATTCAATTATAACAGGATTGTATTTCAGTAGTGGGTATGATGAGAACTTGGGGTATGAGCTAATTAAAGTAGTGATAATGGTGGAACAAGCAAAAGGAGAAAAGAAAGGAGTAGGGTAGAAGAGGTCAGGATTTTAGCATAAGCATCGCTGGAAAATTGGGAAGCTTTTGTTGAGGGTAAGGATCAAAGTGACGCCTGGACCACCCCTGAGAGAATGTTTATTCATAACTTATAGACTTGTTGAATAATAATAAGAGCTGAGATAGGTCCCATGGTTATTTGTTTTCATCTTATATGTATATCCTCTTCTTAAAGTCTCACACCGGATGGAACCCAACTCTTAATATGGTATCGATCAAAGCTAGATTGATCCAGGCGTGGGGCCCCTATAAAAATGTCGACATAATTATAAAAAATGATCATGACGATTCAATAAAAAATGAATTACGGCACGATATAGATAAAGTGTTCGATCGTGAGGAAGGGTGTTAAAGTCTCACACCGGATATCTTTGAAACAATTAATCACTATAGTAAAATTTGAATTACTTCTCTATTCCTCTTCCTCCCGTTTTTATATTTTGAGGTGTCATCTTTGACCCAAGATTTAACCATTGAGGACTTGAGGTGTATGTATGTATGGTTAAGACCAGACTCACCTAAGTTTGGTCAAGCAAAATAAGTCATGTTATTCAAGATTTGATCTAATATTCTACTCTAGCTGTCAACTTTGTCAAGTTCTTTTAACCAAAGTAATTTATCCAACCAAGTTTTTTTTCCTGTAACTTTTAATGAAACCTCAACTAGACATATGGTTGGTAAGAAATAAGCAAGAGAGAGACACCAATTTAGTATCATGAAATAGCATAGAACTATAAGAAAGATTATAGACTATTTAAAGGCGTTTACAATAGTATATGTCCACACAGTAATCAAATGCTAATTGGATTGAGCCTAATTTATATACCAACACTACTGATAGTGGGCCAGCTGGCTCGATAAACATTTAAATAAATCTTGGACCAATTTTCACTAGTTGGGTTCTTGGCCAGGTCAGGCCCATATTGGGCATAACGTTCTTGTGAAAGGTATCATGTTCGATGGATGTATGCTTGATCGGGTAAATTAAAATGCCGGTATTTTGCAATATCGAGCTCCTATTCATGGATTGATGTATGGAGATTACTTACTCCGATCCCTCCGATTCATTGATTGTTCCATTTTTTTGCGATTCGTCCCACTAAGATTGACTCATGCCAAATTTAGTAAAATTTGTATAATTCTAAATTATTCTTACTTTATTCTTACTTTATCAATTCAATATCAATCACATAAACTCGCCTTTATTGGTATGCATGTCACTCTCTTTTGTACCATTGTTAGTGTAACGGAGGGAGTATCATTCAAGAATCAAGACCTTACTTCTTTCTCCTCATATTTATTATCCCCCGTTCCATTTAAAGCTTCCCGTACACTATTCACATGGTCAACTTAAATCATTTTTAGTCTTTTACTTTATATATCAAATTTTTATCAAACTTACATTTTTTTATCAGGCTTTGTAACGGTTTTAATGTAGTTTTTGAATATGTAAATTTTATTTACTAAAACTAATCAACGTGTGAACAGGGATTAAATTGCTTTATTATCAGTCAAGCATCGTAAACCGCAATTGGAACCTCATAATGGGATGGAGGGATTATTATTTTTTGGCGAAATTGATACTAATAATTCATACTTTTACGTATTTTACAGAAAAATAATCCCTACTAGAAAAGTTCACAACAATAATCCCAAGTAGTTAACTGTTTTATAAAAATAAACAGAGTGCTAACGGTGTTAAGTTTTCTGTTATTTTTTTATTTAAAGTATATTAAAGCGAAGATATACATAAACATTGATAATATAACATTTGATTTTAATCTTGTTTTTACTAAAAATTTAATTTAATACTGTATTCAATAAAAAATTAATGGAAAAGTTGACACCGTTAGCTCTCAGATTATTTTTGTAAAACAATTATCTAGTAGGGATTATTTTTGTGAAATTTATGAGTAGGGATTACGGATTATTCTTGTAAAAAGTGTAAAAGTAGGGATTATTGATGTCAATTTCGCCTTATTTTTTTAAGGAAATAAATCAAGCTTCATTCATCAAATCATAATTGAGAGTACACCATCTAATACAATCCGGAGGATAATCAAACCAATAGTGACAATGAGACATAGAATCAACCGCTTTCGCTAACAAATGTGTGATCCAGTAAAACTAGGCCTGATTTTTCTATTATCTTCATTAATAAGGTCATACTCCCTCCGTTCTTTAATATTAGTCCTCTTAGGCTTTGGCACGGGTTTTAAGAAGAAAGTAGTAGGGGTAGTGTAAAAGGTGTAATGAGTAGTGGCTAAATGAAAAAGTAGGAAAGAGAAAGGAGTAATGGTAATAAAAGTTGGGGTATAAAGGTATATTTAGAGTAAAAACATTCCTTAAATGGAAAGGAGGACAGATAAAAAAAAACGTCCCAAAAAGGAAAGAAGGACTAATAAAAAAGAACGGAGGTAGTAATAATTATCATTGCAAACCCCCTTTTTGAATTTTCAATATAGCTTGAAGGTCATCTGACCCTACGGTCAAGCAATCTCACCCATGTTCTTTGCATAAAGCTTCTCTTATGCATAACAATCCAACTCACAGTGGAGACAACTTTCCAGGCCAAGGCTTGGCTACCCCGGCAACAAACTCCCTAGAACTATTTCTAACCACCCACCCAAATCCTCCTACTTCGTCTTTCACTGTTGTGTCTGTGTTAAATTTCAATCGACCATCATTTGAAGGATACAAATAACCCGATCTTGACTGCATTTCTCACCTAGTGAGATTCAAACTTAGGTCAAGCGAAAGGATCAACTACATGAATTAACCCGTACAAAATCATCTCTCTTCTCCCTTCATTTCTTACCATCAAATGATCAAATTAAACTTCATATGATTAATCATTTTCATTTTCAACGTTAAGAATAAAATTAACAATGAAAGTTCAATAGTTATCATCCAACACGAGTTTGATCCTCTACAAAATCCTTTTTAAATTTTTTATTTTTATTATGAAATCATTTCTTTCTAAGATTCCAAACATGCACCGCTAAAGATGGTTGATCCTAGAAAATGATGGACTAGAGATGGTGAACTGCCAGTGATAAAGAATATCATCTACATATAGGAGAATGTAGAGAGTGTGAGAAGAAGATCGTAAGATGAACATGGAGGAGTCTGATCTACTCTGGGTAAAACCAAGTGACAAAAGAAAACCACTAAACCGATGAAACCATGCTCTAGGTGCTTGTTTGAGACCGTAGAGAGCTTTACGAAGACGACAAATATGGTGAGGAAACTGAGGGTGAATGAACCCCGGAGGCTGGCGCATATACACCTCTTCGGTGAGGTTACCATGGAGGAATGCATTTTTGACATCTAATTGACGAATAGTCCAACCCAAGGAAAGAGCAACAGAAAGAACAAGACGAACAGTGGTGGGTTTAACAACAGGGCTAAAGGTCTCAGAAAAATCAACTCCAGCTTGTTGGTTAAACCCTTGAGCAACCAAACGTGCCTTATGGCGCTCAATAGAACCATCAGACTTATATTTTGTTTTATAAACCCATTTACAGCCAATTACATTTTTCCTCAAGTCACTAGGTACTAAATCCCAAGTTTTATTGGCAATTAAAGCATTAAATTCTTCTGCCATTGCTGCCCGCCATACTAAAGATTTATTAGCTTGAGTAAAACATGTAGGATCATTTGGGAGAGCTAAAGTGTTTAAATTAAAAATTGTTTTAGGTTTAAAAATTCCATCTTTAGCTCTCGTGCGCATGGGGTGAATGTTGGGAGCCATCCGAGGCGGAGAGGGTGACGGGGTAACCGAAGTACTGGAAGAAAGAGGACTGGCCGTGGGGCTGGTTGAGGGTGTCGAGCTAAGGTCGGGAAGGACAAGGGGACTGGTCGTAGATATGGACGTGGGTGTGGGACTCGGATATGGGGCTGGACTAGTGGTCGGGCTTAGTGTAGAAGGGGTGATGGATGAGGCATGATGTACAACTGGACTGACATGAGCCGAAGCAAGCTGCTGGTCGAAGGTAGGCATGGGACGGGTAATACCTGACACAGGTGTGGGAGCAGTACGGGTGGATGTCCAAGGCAGTAAAAATGAGTTCGATGTGTGAGGAGTGGAAATCAAGGTAGGATAGGGAAAAGTGGTTTCATGAAAAATAACGTCCCGGCTAATGTATACACGCCCTGTCCGGGGATCCAAACAACGATAACCCTTGTATCCCGAAGCATACCCCAGAAAAACACAAAGAATAGACCGTGGGGAAAGTTTATTGGAGGAAGAGGCAATAATGTTAGGAAAACAAGCGCATCCAAAAACGCGCAGGAAACTATAGTCAGGTGGTTTTTGAAACAGTTTCTCGAACGGAGACACATTGCCCAAAACAGGAGTTGGTAACCGATTTATAATAAAAGTGGCTGTATATAGGGCATCAACCCAAAAAGAATTCGGCAGACTAGCATCAATTAGCATAGTCCTAGCCAATTCAAGTAAATGGCGATGTTTCCGTTCTGCCACTCCGTTCTGAGCAGGTATATCCGGACAAGATTTTCTAAAAAGAATTCCACACTTAAGAAAATGGTTGTGAAAAGTGGTATTAACAAACTCACCTCCTCCATCACTCTGAAAACATTTAATTTTTGTATTAAATAAATTTTCAACTAAGTTTTGAAAATTACAAAAATGCAAAAATACTTCAGACTTTCTATGCATGGGATAGACCCAAGTGAACCTAGAAAAATCATCAATAAAAGAAACATAATATTTGAAACCTAAATTAGAAAGCACAGGTGATTGCCAAACATCAGAATGTATTAGCTGCAAAGGAGCTGAAAAACCATGAATAACATCTGTAAAGGGAAGACGGTGGGACTTGCCCAGCGTACAAGACACACATTTATGCGAAAATAAACTAGAACTAGTAATAGAATTATTTTTCCTAAGTGTAGACAAAATACGATCCCCACAATGACCAAGTCGTTTATGCCAAACTGGACCAGGTACAAGTGCTGTCTTGAAGGTCAGAAACGGGGCAGGTTGATGGATAGCTGTGAAGGGATAAACGCAGTCTTTATTGGTTGCTTGAAGAAGGATGGCCCCCGTGTGGTTGTCCTTAACAAAAAAAGAATTTTTAT